CTTGTACGCATCCCATTTCCGCTTTTTATCCCTGATGAGATGATGGGCTCATCCAACTTTCATCCTTCCTTTGTACGAGTGCAATCAATGTTTCAATAAATAAAAAAGTTATCATTCTCTTCGAAAGGAGTATTAGTACAAGAAAAATATCGGCGGCTCAATCCTCCGGGTCCGCATCCTGAGGACATAATGAGGAAAGGAGGGACTGAATTCGCATATACGCCGTGGAACAGGAAGGAGTGGACCTTCTCCTGAAATGTACTACAATTAATACATTCAAGATCAACCTCTATCTGTTTTATGTCTCTGGCTCAACCATGGGACAGACATGTGCACGGGAAGGGGGTTGTACGGGTACTGCATACAGTGGCGTAGCCAGGTTCTCGTCACTGGGGAGGTTTACTTCTCGTCGGGGTGGGGGGAGAGTGGACGCATTCCGACCAGAGTTGGGGGGGGCTGAAGCCCCCCCCTCGCTACGCCACTGATTGCATATAGAAATGTCTCCACTGGATAAAGAATTTAGGGAAAATATTAATGCCAATATTGGCCCATATTGCCATATTGCCAAATGCCAATATGCCAATATTGGCCTGGTAGTAATCCCAATAATGGTCCAAGATGGGTGCCAATGTTGAGCCAAGATGTATCTTCCTTGGCAGCCGATATTGATCAATATTGGGGTGCTACTGGGGTCAGATTTTCATCTCTTCGAGCCATTAAAGAGAAGCCTCGCTGGCTACCATTTCCAATCAGACGAGAGCATGCCAACACCAGTATGTTGTTGGCTGTACGCACTAGATTCGCCCACATTCTATGAGATGGATATTTAAAAATTAGTTAAACTTGGAAAAAATGCATAGTGAATACCTCGATAAGTAGCAAAAGACACGTACTTTCATTTGTATATGCCAATAGTTTTGTGTGCCATACAGTACTTGCGAGAAAATTTGATTAACCTTATTTTCCAACTGTTCCTCATACTAACCGCAATAAATAACTTTACAAGGATGCCATATTATTTAGAATTACCTTGTACTAGTGTTTTATTGAAGACTGGAGAACCTACTCAAAGAAAGTGGGTTCAATGGGTTTGCAGGAAACCAACATGTCTCTGTTTATAAACTGGGCATACTCCTTCGTCAATAATGTGAAATCACAAGACTGAATGCTGTCAGACCCAGTCAACCCTTTCTCCTGGCTCAACATGTGGTAAACCAAATTACTAAACATGGCAATGCTTTTTTTTGGATGCAAAGACACAGCTATGTACAATTTAATGACATTGTTGCCATACTCTCAGTTTGCTTGATGTATTGGGAAGGAAATTTCTCCAGGGTCATTGCCCACAACTGCTTACTCTGTAAAGCAGGTCTAGCCTTGACACATGTTCCTCCATCTCCTGCTGCTGCTGCCATTTTTTCTCAGATTCTAGTTGCTTGATCTCTCAGCTGGTACAGAAGGCTCTGTCAGCTTCCCCTCTTCAGTAGTATTGCACTTAGTTTGTCAATTTGTTGATTTTCTTATGTATATCAAGAGGAGCTAAGGGAATGTCATTCACCATGGGAACACCTTCATCTTTGCAGACCATTATTTCAATATTTCTACCTATTTGTGGCCTGATCGTTCAGTCATTGCCACTTTCTTTGAGTAATACAAATGAAGTGAATCAGGAATACAGTTTTTGTTATATTTGTTTATGGAATGCCAAGATGATTCAATGACAGACAAGGAATAAAGAATCCCCTTAATTAAAACTTGGTTGTAGGGAGAGTAGCATAAATGAACAAATATAGATGAGCAGAATCAACTTCACAGATGCTCTTCTCACTCCAAGGTCTGCAAAATCAAAGAAAATCCGATTCAGAATCTTGGATCATATGAATGGAAAACATGCCATGCATAATTCTAATGTAATAACAACATTCTGAGTTAACAATGAAGGAAAGGAAAGGGACACTTGAGAACTTGCATTGAGTATGCATCTGATGATGATGACAGTAAGGGATCCAAAAGCAAACGAAAGGAGATACCTCCAACCAGGGAGGTGGGGGAGTCTTCTCTTCTTCATCAGGCTCCTCAATCGGCTCACTTTCTGTGGCTCATATGGTGGGTACCTTGCACTACAATTATGAACATTCTAACAAGTCTCAAACCATTTTTTTTTCTTTTTTGGTCAAAGGTGAAAGAACAGACCTGCCAAGATCTTCAACAAGGCGATTGTAGTCTCTCTGAAGAATACTCTTCTTGTGTGAAAAGGTCTCAAAAGTAGCTTGACCACGATAAACTCCCATTCCACTCATACCGACTCCACCAAATGGAAGGGAATCCACTGCCATATAGAGAGATAACCTTTGGGATACTCATTATATGGTGATCAAAGCTTAAGTTAGCTGGCTGCATACATGTCTACTTCCTTTGTATATGAAGGCAGATCTATTTTTTTTTATAAAGTCTCATGACGAGATGCATAATAGAATCTATTTCACTTTGTATCTTTCAAAATTTAAGTAGAAACAAATGGTGATTCAACATTGCAAGATTCTGATGGAGGATATTCTATAATATAACCTCTGCATAGCATTCTATGGCATGAATCAATTGCAGTATAACACAGGAGATAACAAAACTGAAAGAGTATTAATAGAAGAGGGAGAGAAAGATACCAGAAATATGAAGGATGACATCATTGAAGACCACAGCCCCAGAAGAGGTTTCAGCCAAGAATAGATCCATCACATCTGAGCGCTTTGTGAACACGTACAGAGACAAAGGCTTCTCCCTGCATATATAGTATATAGAGTGAATCTTAAGTCTGGAAATATAGGTATTACAGCTCATGCTCTGGGTGTTTTCCTTTTTTCACATATGCCTGCAGTTGTTTCACCCATTCATATTGTACACTTTTGTTCACTTTTTTTTCAAACTTAACCATTGCACCCAACTTCACTACTGTACTATGTGTGATTGGTCATTGATCGGAATGCTTGTTGTTAAATGCCTCAGCAATTTCTTTCAAAGAATCTTGACCGTGCATCTTGACCAATTATCTCTGCATTCTTCTTGTTCAGAGACACTGTTTGGGGTGTTATTCACAAGCTATGAACATCAGCTAAAAACAACATAAGCAACAGAATTATAATGAAAAAAGGATGTTTCCAGACTTAAGATTCACCATGTACATTGTTTCCCATTGATTTCATACCAGCTGCAAAATACTTAGTGAGCCTCTCAAAATTATTTAAACACATTGCAGAAAGTTCCATACTCCTTCCTGTCCTATCATCATAGGAAGGGTATGGAAGATTATGTAATGCATTGCATACAAATCATTCTGAGAGAGATGTGAAGCAATTTGCCACCAGTGCCAAGCATTCTGCCAAGAGGTACAAACTGCACTAAGAAACACCATATCCAAGAAACACAAATTGGCTGAAAACATGGGAAAAACAGTCAGAAGCAATATAAGCAATTGTGATGCACTAGATGTAGTATGTTTTAGTTGGCATGAACCACCTCTTCACATCACATCAAATGACCTATCACCAAATACAGGTGTTCCTGAATGTTATACAGTACACAGTGGTTCCATTCCAGCATTGAGAACACTCACCTAACCTGCAACTGGTAAAAGTGTCTCAGTCAGCCAGAATGTGTGGAGTAAGGTCATTTGCATAATCCTTTGTTTTTCAGACACTGAAGCAAAAATGCTCTTACCATCTGAGGCAGCCAAAGGTGGTCTTTGATAGTCCTTGTTCCAGAGAGTATGTTGAAGCTTAATCTCCTTCTGCAAGCTTTTGGAAAGATAGTCTTTAAGTTGCAAAAGCTTACAAGTACTTTCTCATTCTTGGGATGGATTGATGGATGGATGGATGCTTGAGTTATGACATATCTCTGAATGCACAAATAATCTACTTGCTTTTGTATTTCCATTTCCTTCACCTCATAAAAATTGTCAAGCTCCCTTATTCTTCATCCTTACTGTTATTTAGGAATAGGGCTTCTGGCATGTGTGATATATATAATGCATTAGTCAGCTCTGGAATTTGGCAGTGGATTCTTAAATAGAAACAACCTAATTGCAACTCTGCAGCATGAAGATTCCCATGATTCCATACTTTTTTCTCCTCCATTTGAAAAGACTTGAATGGTCACATCATCACTCTTTTTAATGAATAGGCATAACACAGGTATAATATGGGTTTTGCTCAACCTAATGACCCTGAATGGCAGTGCCAGAGTATTCACGAAAAAGCAATCACCCTGCTCAAATGCTTGTCAATAAAACTTGGCAAACCTTGTTTCCAGACTGCAACAAATAAGGGCATTGGCATTTTAAAAAGTATTTCCAAAAAGGGCCATTGTCACCTTCAATTTTGACAAGAAATTTCAAAAGCCAATATACTTTTGAAGCTTAAGAATGCTTAGTTGCTTAAAGCAGCTATTTAACAATGATATAAATGTATTCTCATAAGTATCTAGGTATTTAAAAAGTTGAATTTTTTCAAATACAGTGAGATCTAAAACCACTGTGCAGTGTGGACATCAGAAACACAATAAAAGTATGAAATAGCACTGAGCATGCAGAAAAAAAGGTTATGAATTCCTTCTTCACCAATACCCAAACTGTAGCAACTCCACTTTCCCATCACCAAGGATCCAACATTAAACATTTTTTGCATTAACCTCCTTGGCGTTTACCCCAAGACAGTCTTGGGGTAAATGACCAACAACTTTTAACCAAAATATCTCCACTCACAATGGAGCAACAGTATTTTTTGTAAAAGTTTGTTTATGCATACATGAATATTTTTTTAAAACTTATCCTCAAAATTTCACCTGAATTTGTTGAGCTGAAGCAATACCATAAGCAGTTATTGAAAATAAGTAAGACATTGAGAAAGAACAAGAGCTGGTAATGAAGAGGGGAGCTGTCAAGCACTTTCCTTCTGGTCATCAAGACATTGTCGAACTCCTTTCCAATTAATTCTTTTGGCTGGTTGTCTCTTGCAGATGAAATGATGAATATCAATCCAGAGATTTTTTTTTCAAATTTCGTTCAGAATTTCCCTGGTTTCTGTGAAGGAAATATCCATTTTAAGTGTCAGACTCATCAGAGAAAATCGTTCATAACTTTAACTCAAGTTACTTAATTTTGACAGCCTTCTTGACTTTCAAATGAATAAAATGATGGTACATTCTCAACAAATTTTGTGAGACATGAATGAAGCAATCTTTAGATACACTCAAAGTCATTGGTCTTATTTATCATATCTAGTAGACTCAGGCTTATGGCAGCAAAGGGATATTCTGAATGAACTTTAAGAAAACTCTGAATTTATCAATTTATTGATTTATCTATCATCCATTGGGAATAAGCACATGAAAACCTATGCAAGGGATGACCAGCCCAAATAATGAATTCGAGTGGAAGAGGAGTTTGACTTGGTCTTATGACCAGGAAGGAGTGCATTCCAGCATTCCCTCCACTCCACTACCAACAGGAACTTTTGTCCATTCTCAATTTAACTTATTTTCAGTAATTGCTGATTATATTACTTCAGCTCAACAAATTCTGATGAAAATTTGAGGATACATTGGAAACACTCATGTATGCATAGTTAAAGTTTTGCAAAAATTGTTCCTTTATGAGCAGAGATGTTTTCATTAAAAGTTGTTGCAAATTTTTTGCAATACCCTGCATAATAAGTTCAATATATTTCTAGCAAAGTAAGTAAACATTTTCCCCTATGGTTATGTAAGCATTGTGTACATGTGTGTCATGAACAACAACTTTAGCAAGAGAAAAATTCACAAGAAAGAAAAGGCAAGAGAAAGTAAGCACTGCTAGTGAAAACAGTAAAGTAAGAAAAAGAGTGCTAAGGAGGTAAAATAAATCAGAAGCTTGTATAATGGCATTGTTAGAGTAACTGACCTAGAATGGGAACATACCAGGAACAACTCCTAGCTGTCCTTCTCCATTGTGAACACAGATGGATTGTGGGGTGTGATTCTCGCTGCACACATACATGTGGGTTTACATTCATGATCTTGAATGATGCATGCCAACACAAAGCTCCTACTCCAGGGGAAGGAATAGCCCAAAATAAGAGAAAGGGAAATAACAGACCGAGCTTGAATGAAGTTAATGGCTTCATGAGCATCCTGGACATTGATGATGGGGAGGATTGGACCAAAGATTTCTTCTTTCATCACTGGGTCTTTTGCTGAGATATCCACCAAAATAGTTGGTTCAATGTAACGATCCTCCATGTCTGTCTTCCCTCCCAGAGCTACTCTACCACATAACAGGAAGCTTTCCAATCTCCTGTGGGGAATACATACAGGTCATTCCATTGTGATCCCTCTTACATTTTCAAATAAATTTCAGAAATTAATTCAATTCTACATCCTGAATTTTCCATTTCAGATCTTCCCTGAAGGCATTAGCATTTTAGGCATTGAGCTTTTGTTGGGTATAATAATAGCATGGATTTCTTTCAGTTCTGAGTGTGAAAAAAGGGGAAAAAGTTATCGTGACTTATGTTACAACAACAGGCATGAACTTAATTATAAATGTAGCTCTCCATAAATTTGGCTCAGAAAATGTAACTGGTCATTCACAATTTGAGGCAGTCAATATGGCCATATCTTGACTTTTTACAGTATACAGGGCTTTTTTTTTAGAAATACTTTTAGTTAGGCAAAAATTGAGAACTTGGGGGATGAGACATATGATGTTTACAGCTGTCATCTTGTCCTTGGTTACCAATGCAAACCGATCTCCTGTGACATCTTGTAGATGAATGGATTTTCACATGCAAAAAGTCACAAAAATCGCCATTTAAATTGCTATCATACTTCCCTTCTTACTTCAGCTTCTCTTTCCTTCGTTTCTTCAGCAGTTTGTTGCATTTTTTATTCAATAACACACCAAATCAATGTGGAGAAAGAAAGCTATCACTGTGTGACTCATGTTACAAACGCTGCACAGACAAGGGATATTACACCAATACAGTTTATGGTGCAAGTCCCATTTGGACTCCTGTATAGCTGCAAGCAGAGGTGGAAAAAGTTCTGTAACCTGGTAACTAGATTACCGGGAAGGATAGCGACTGATTGGGAAGACAAGGCAGGGGGGAAAAAAATAACTAGAGAAGAAAAGCGATGGTCGGAGTGTTTGGGATGAGGAATGGGGGTATTGTACGTCTGGCGCCCACCTATGTACACCGAGCACACTTGTCCTCTCCTACGATGCTCGAGTGCGTCTCGCGCCCACCTGACCTCCCACGCCCTGGTGAGGCCTTGATGTCAAATCATGAAACCCGACCTCCACGAATAAGAGGCACCAGGAGATGATATCGGCGAAACGGGAAGATCAAGCCCCTGAGTGGAGTCAGGAGGATACCTCTATGTGAATGATGTTGGTAAGTTCAGGAACGATGATATACCCACGTATATATTTTCCTCCCCGTGCTAAGCGCATAAGCGAAAAGATCTCGCCCTCATTAGGAAAAAAGGTGATAAGTGGGAAAATCAATCAAATTCGCCTTTGTAGCAGAAGCGGTCTTGTCATCGGCATAAAAAATGGATTATAATTATGAAAGCGTATTTCACAAGGTGAGAGATACTGATCACCGAATTAGATGGTGTCTTGCGCCTCGGAAACCCCTTCCTTTGCTCTTCAATCAATCAGTCGGCATCGCGTTACCTGACTTTCGGCTGACAGATTAATTGTTCTCTTCGCACATTTTTCAAGTGACCTTTTCGACCCCTGAGTTGAGAGGATACATTGATCTCCAATCCCCATCGGAGCGACGTCCAATTTCATTCCGCTCTCTCGATTCCGCGCCTCACGCACGTGGTCCTGTGCCAGATTTCCTGGTACGAAACAGTTAGTGCGTCCTGTCAACTCGTATGCATCCAGTCACTGAGAGATTATCTGATAGTCTTTCGCGACGAAGTGCCCTAACTGAACAGTGGCGTATTTTACAGAGATGCAAGGGGGAGAGGGGGGGGGGGGGGAGCCGCCCCCCCTCCCCTGGCGCCCCAGGGACAGAGCCTGGCTCCCCCAGGAGGCAATAACTTTCCCACATGATACCACTCGGGTGGGGTTTGGCGACCCCGCTCTGTAACCCTGCTCCCCTAACCTTTCAGCCAAAATACGCCACGGCTTAAACCCTTTGGCAACCAAAGAGCTCCAAGTTCAAACTCTTGATCTCCATTTAGAAGAAATAAGTAGCTAGCATTTATTGCGAAGAACGCAGCAAGCGTACAAGTTGAAGTAACATGATATTTCAGAGGTCGTTGACCGACTGAGTAGGCAAATGGGGAGGTTTGAAGTATGAGTTGGAAGCAAGAAGCTTGAAGTATAAAATAAATATCCCAGTCCAAAAATGAAGATATTGATCGAAGTGCCCCTCTGCAGAAAAACCTTTAAAGGGCTTTTCCAATAACATTTCTTCAATTTTCATAAATGACAAGTGCTTCCGAAGGGCTATGCCCCTCTGTGCATTCCCCAATATATCCTGCTAGGGGCCTACACATTTTTCGTTTTCGGTTTTTTCTTGTCTAGTGGAGGGTTAAAATTGATCTTGTGCCAAGCAACCTCCCCCCCCCTCTTTCTTTTTGAAATTCTGACACTTATGTCCCTTTTCCCTTGGAATGACATATACGGCATTCATTCTTTTCATATGCAGTTAAGACAGCTGAGGTAAACATGTTATTCCATTCTCCTTCTAAAGATTTCCATACTGAAAAGAAAATGGATGAATCAAATTAAGTGGTTCAGCTTAGAAATTCATAGGAAATTAAAACATTAATGATCATGCTTCAGGTTGAATGAAACGGCATTCTCGGATAGTTGAGATTCATCTCTGTTTCAAAGGAGCATCTTTGAAAACATCCCTCAGGAAAACATGAGGTCTATGAGATATAGGGTAAAACCACCTAAGTTCGGACACTAACATTTATTGTTAATAAATACGCATTCGCGAGATCGACATCAGAGAGAGAGAGAGAGAGAGAGAGAGAGAGTTCTTCTTAACCCAAGATGACCATATTATTAAGCAAAAGACCTGCGGTGGCCACAATCGTTGAGCACGATTTCGAATTATCAGGTAGAAATTAATGTCATGTCGTGGACAGGACAAATTCACGAGAACGTACGGAGACGACTTTACTTGATAAACGCTTCCCACGTGGTATCGTTAATTCTGTGATCAACTCTCATTCCACAGGAAACTAGGGAACATGGAACACTCTATAAGGGAATACGCATGCCATAAACAGATTTCCGTCTTACTTCTGGTGTGTCCAAACTAAGTTGTGTTCGAACTTCTTTCTTTCGCATTTAAGTTCCCACGTAATAGGAATTATTGGAAGTCATATGGCTATGTTGGTCATCATCTTCATCACATTCATACCTATTCATATTGTGCTGTCTGACGCTAAAAATGAAGTACAGTCGAACTCAGTTATAACGAACTCAGTTATAACGAACTCAGTTATAACGAAACCTCGATTATAACGAAGTCCACTGAACGTCCCACAGACGAAATCGACAGCGTGCATGTCCCTAATCCGTCATTCTTAGCTGAAATTTCCGTTATCGGAAAAATTAGCGTTGGCGAGCCATAACGTTATATTTCCTGGATTCGGCATTTCTTGAGTCTTGTGGGTGTGGCTGGAGCAATGTTAGGGAGGGATAATCCCCAGTAACTAAGATCACCTTATCCTCAGTCGCCATTTGCATTTCTCGTTGACAACATGGCCAAAGGAAAACGAAAGAGGCAAGCCTTCACGATTGAAAGGAAAGTGTGCTCGATTAGTTTAATAGAAAGAGTTCGAAGTAAAGCTAATGTCGCTCGCGAACATGGACATCTGTTAATCTGTTTCCACAATTTGGGAAAATCGTGACAGCTTCATCCGTGCTTAGGAGAACATGTCACAAAACAAGAAACTTCCTAGATCTGTCGCGATGACATCGACGAAGCCTTGCTAAAGTATAAAGTAGTTCAAGGTTCAAAGAAGTGCGAACATCACGATTAGTGGGTCAATCTTGAAGCTGAAGCTAGTGCAGTATGACCAATGTAAACTGGAGTTGTAACGTTACATAGCATCAATTTTGAAAACAGGAAAACGGAGTGCCAATAAAGGCAACCTCGGTTATAACGAACCTCGGTTATAACGAACCTCGGTTATAACGACGGTTTTTACCTGGTTCCTTCGATGACGTTATAACCTAGTTCGACTGTATCTGGGTTGTACCATTAAAGCGTGACGAGCGAATTACAATCTTATCCTGGCTTAATTGTCCGAACATTGGTGGTTTTACCCTACTCAAAAACCTGCTCAATGTTTAAAACAAATAAAACCATGAGTAAGTCTACCAAACAGCCCATTAGTCCTTTCCCATGCTCAGTGAAAATCTGTAAGTGCTTGGATTTGGATAGAATCTAGTCTCCTCTCCAGTATTATTGCAGCTACTTTAATAAATTGTAACTCACTATAGTGAATGGAACACATGGGAATTAAAAAATCACTAAGAGTCTATAACAGGGGTCTCAAACTCGCAGCCTGCAAATGCTCTCAATGTGGCCCATAACCCACCTCTGTGCACCAAGAGAGAAAATTTTCAAATCCAATAAACACAATATGAATATTGGTAATTATTTATTCTATAATTTTACGCTTTGGCCAGCAGAGAGGTCCGATTTTGGTAATGCAGAACGCACACTGAAAGGAGTCTTTCAAGGAAACTTTGCAGCATTAGTGGCTGTTTCAATAGCGCCACAGAATTTCAGAAAGGGACCCTTTCTTTTTGCCTCACGTTTGCTGCTGTCTCATGAAAGAATAAAGAAGGGAAGATCCTTCCAACAGATTCAATCTGACGAATTCCTCTAGTAACAGAGGATGCTTCTCTGCCTTTCTCTACACGTTTTAGCCCTTCCAATGAATTTTTACTTTACATGTGAAAAGCTTAAGTCCTGACAAGTGATATTTTTGAGCTTCACGCAGAAATATATTGCTGGGAAGTGGGAATGTAAGGAGAGTGAAGGAAAAAAAAAACAACTGCATTGCACACAGTTTGCCACATGCTATGGATATTTGGGCACTGATGGCATAACACGAAGTCAAAGATGGTACACATTTGATATTACTGTCTTCATAGGTACATCATTTTGGGAGGGAAATTGAATGAAACGAGCCCACTTGAATTTACCTTTACACTTTTAAATCCCAATATCTACAGGGTGATTCATGAATCAGGTTACATAGGGGTAATCCTTATTATTGTTGCATGTGTGTGAATGGTCGCAGTGATGTCCATGTCAATTGAAGAACGTATTGAGGTGGCGTTATTGGTTCTTCACATTTTGTGAAGGATATGATTGTGTTTGACCGTGCTAATAAAGACATTCCCTATGTAACCTAACTTATAAATCATCCTGTATACATGTGTGTACTTTTCATAGCACATGTACTTTTAGAGGTACAAAGATCATACTTGAAATGTCTGTCATTGATGATGCGAGCAAGGTCCTTGGACTTCTGAATGTCAGGTCCATACCATTCCTCAAGGATACTTTTAGCATGGCTGATGAATTGATCCTGGACAGACTTGGTGCATAGGAGATAATCAGGGGCAAGGCATGTCTGACCAGAATTGATCAGTTTTCCCCACAGGATCCTCTTCACAGCCACCTCCATGTTCACTGACTCATCCACATATGTTGGGCTGTTAGAAGACAATCACCATCTTGGGTTTCTTACTCAATGAAAAAAGATACAATGGAAGAGACATAAAAGTTACCTCTTTCCACCCAATTCCAGGGTAGTGGGGGTTAGATATTCATTGGCAGCAGCACGCACTGCTTTCCCAATTTGAGTTCCTCCAGTGAAAAAGACATAGTCAAACCTCTCCTTCAGCAGCTCCTTTGTCTCCTCTACATCTGCATTTATTGCCAGGTAGCATCTCTATGAAGGTAAAATCAACATTCCATGTCTTTGTGTCAATGTGAGAACTAGTTTGATACAAGCTTAAGGAGTCATGTAGCAACAGGATACACATTCTAGAGGTGTACATAGAATTTTTGCAAGGGGGTTCTGTATCAGATATTAAATATGAAAAACACCAGGAGAAGCATTTCTTGTGACAATTTTCCTTTCTTGCATGTGACATGACAATGCAGCAGGGGAAGAATGAAAAGACAGGGGACAAGGGAGAGGGGCAGGAGGAGCAAGTTCATGGCTAATGGATGTAATGGGAGCAATATAAGAAACAAGGGGGTTCATGATCCCTCATTCTTCTTTGTATCTGTCACTGCTGCATTGTACTTCATTTTTCAACTCATGCTTTATGAAGAGTTAATTTTATTTTTAAAATTACACAAATGAAATGTCTCTTGTGAATAAATAATTTCATGAAAAACTGGAACAGTCTACTTTAGACTGAAATCAAGTAGTAAGCTAGGGGAAATATTTAAGGGCATACAAACAAAAGGGCAACTCAACATGGACTTCAAGATCTTCAAGACAATAAAATGATTTCCAACTTATTTTTTCATGGTGTCTCAATAAAAGAGATCCAATTTTTTTTACATTTTCCTCTGATGTGCAAGCTTTGTACTCTTCTGCACGGCACATGTTATCAAGGCTGTGTGGTGATGGTAGGTTGTCTTGATGATGAAATTATTTTTTTATTATAAAATTCCTCTAACCATGTGAATACCACATGAATGCCTCCCATTTTTTAAAATGAAAGAGTACAAGTTTACTTCAATAACTTGCTTGTCATATTTACTAGATCTCTTGTTTAATTTTTGTTCTTAATTTGAAAATTTATTATCTCCAAGGGACAAAAAATGCAAAGAATGGAGAGCTTGACTTGAGGGTGACAGAAAACAGTTATTAAAAATGTAACCAGAACATAATCAACCATAATAACACATGATGAGAGATATAAAAAGAAAAATTCTCCCTGAGATTACCTGCCACCTACACTTCTTCATGTTGGAGTTTGCCAAAGTTGAGTAACTGGCCAGGAATTGCATACAAATTGCTTGTCCACTTCAATTTTTAAATATTTCAAATATGAAAAACTATTAAACTTGAAGCACTGTATAGCATTTTTGAAAACTAGGCAGAAATCTTCCTTATTCTTCTGAGATGTCAGGTGCAGGAAAACTTGACCCCTCGTAAAAATATTGAATGTATATACTGTACTTGAAAGTGTATATTGCATTCCCTAATTTGAAATAAAATTCTACTGAATGACTTGAGCTGACCTGAGTAAATCATAAATCCAATCATGACATGTAAATCACAGATTGCAAAAAGAAAAAAAAAGGTAGAAATCACATCAATCTGATTATCATGAAATTATTGACTATATTCCAATATGTGACTCAGACACAAACTTAAAGTTGTCACAGTAAAGCTAGAACAGTCCATGGGCCAACTTTTAAGCCCTGAAGTGGTTAGTTTTTAAATACCCTGGTATAAGACAAGCATGCACTTGAATTACAACTTTTCCTCAGTTTCAAAGCAATTCTGGACAGAATTGTGTTACTGTATACTTCTGAACATGCACTGCATGTAGGTTCAAAGATGATCAAAATTGGACAACAGATGTCAAGGCGATGACAGTTTATATATGGCAGGGCAAAAACCACACAGAGTATGTGGAAACAGCTTGAGGGGTTAATTGAGAGTTATAATGACTCCTCATATAATAAAATGTCAAGGTGCTCAAAACTACAGCCACACCAACGAAGTACTGAAGCTATATGTCAATTCTATTTTCAGGTTAAACTCATGCAGCCAACCCAGCATCTGTGCTGTGGCACCTGATGGGTGTGACAATACTATTTAGATATTTATTCTACTACCAACTCTCTCATGACCTGGTTGGTTCAGGTGTATGCAGGCCTAACTTGCTGTTGAATATCTCACGGCTGAATCACAAGGTCTAGGTTCAACATATACAATATTGAAGACAGTGTCTTGTTCCAAACATGTGCAGCCTGCATACCTAAGTACATTTCAAAGGATACTTGCAGTTAAGACTTGTTAATCATATGTGGAGTGAAAAAAATTAAGCAAAGTCAAACCTAAAATAAGCCAACTGACTGAATGACTATACTGATCTGTCATTTGACTGGTCTAGTGGCAGATTTTCAATGGAGCAGTCGATAACCCATTCCTGTGTGATAGTACCAATGTAGTAAAATGCTATTCACCATATGAACATCCAATATATACTATTCAACATGCAATCTTTAATCTTCAAGTCTGAATGACATTATTTTCATGTGCCTATAAATCAAGTAATAGATTAACTTGATTCATTTATGGGAATATTATATGTTTTTGACTTAGAGAATTAAACTGGCCTATTAAATTAAACATACCTATTCCCAGGAATACAGATGAATAAGTATTGAAAGAATCTCTAACTAATTCAAACTATGCTTCTGGGTTTTGAATAAAATAAGGTTTATAAGTCAGAACAATACTTTGATTTTGCCTCTGGAAGTACTAGAGTATGGAAGAAGAGAGAATGCACACCATGTCAAGATATTTGGGGATGAGTTCAGTAAGGAGCTGGGCAGCATGGGTGGCAACTTCAGAGGGTTTCATGACCACCACATTCCCTGCAGCAATGGCACCCACAACGGGGCACAGAGTTCCTTGGATAGGGTAGTTCCAGGCTCCGAGAACCAGGACGAGACCATAGGGCTCCTTGTGGACGTAAGGTGTGTCAAACAGAGTCATAATGGACTTGGAGACACAGACATCCTGTGTGTACTTGTCCAGGTTCATCAACATCCCCCGGATCTCGTTGACCACAAACTCTACCTCTGCCATCACTGTCTCTGAATGTGGCTACATAAGAAATTTAGTTCATTTAAAAAAACTTCAGAATAGGATAGTTTCATGTGTTCCATCATCTGACAAAGCATTTAGATTAAAAATTGACACAGGATGGAGATGATTTCAATAGTGACAGTGGAAGCAAAATTCCACTTCACAAGTTTCCCAAAAAAGTTTTACAAATATAAAAACACCTCTTTAGTGCCTGCACAAGTAATTCTGAAACATAAAACTGAAAATTATGAAATTAATCCAAAAACTAGATATGTAAAAGACTGTGTGATGCACAAGAATAACTCATGAACATTTTTATAACCAAATGCTGAATTCTAGAGGCCTCAGTTCAAAACAAGCATAGAAGAGGCAGGATGGAGATTAGAGCTCCAATAAAGGTTCTTAAACAACAAAAGGGAGATCAATATTGGCTAACAAGGAGGTAACTATTTCAAGTTCCATTCTGTCTGGCTCTTGTGACTGTTGTGACTCTTGTGATTTTCAAAACCATAATTGAAAAAATATTCCAAATATTGCAAGAAAATGAGACAATGTCTGTGCTATCTATATTGCAATTGGTGGAGAATCTAACCCTCAACTCTTTTGTGTCCACTTTACCTCTCAAACTGAATAGAATAGAGAGATTCTTCAAAGAACAACAAAATAAAGCTTTTAAAACATTCAGCATCACAATGCTATCCTGCAATGATGAAGGAGCAGTGATAATTGTTTTTTGAATGAACCTCAAGTAAACAGGATTGAAAAGTCTAAAATAAATTAAAGAATCTAAAAATCAAGAATCTCAAATAAATTCCTCAATCAAAATGGAAAAGCCATGAAATGGTTTGAAAAACCTTACCATTTCAGCTATGAAACTAATACCATCAAGTTTTACCAGTCTTTCAATTTACAATTATTTGAAACAAAACTTACTAAACATGAAAAATTTTTAAAAGAGGACAAATAGGCAGTCATTCAAATATTTAATCTTGCAGGTGATGTTCCTTCCAACTCTCTGAAGAAGTTAGAAGGAGTCAATAAAAGGATTTTTATAGATAAAAAATGTAAGGACTGCCCTTTGTACCACTTTTGAAAAAAAAAATTCAATTTAATGAGATGATTCACATAGATATAATTAAAAAGTCCTGAAAAAATTAATGCCATTAGAGGATTGAAAACTTTCATGCATAGAAGAAGCATATCTATTAATCCCCAAAATGTGTGTGATGGCATATGCCACTTAGAATCGTTGCTGGTTTTCATAAAAGTCACACTTGGGGGGGTAAAGGCACTCAGATTACAATGCTGTACTTGCAATGAAGAAGGAGCTGTGCTAGAGTGATCACAGATTTTTGAAGAAACCATGAAGTATGGCAGTTTTCATTTATATGAGGATGGCTGTAGGGCCAATTTTGGTATAAATGAATTAAAATTAATGATTTGACTTTTAAAGAACTTCTGTAACTTCCAGAAACCGTTAAAAAAATTCTGATTTTCATGTGAGGTAATCAGTACTGAGACTGAGGAAATAAAATCATTGAAGAACCATCTCAATTATTCAAGAGTGGAACTGATGTATTTTGTACTGTGGCATTTCATTACAAAGAGGGTATAGTTTGCAAGTATTGAATGCATGCTTGGATAAGGCCTGTTCCTACCTTGCGAAGGTCAGCAGCAAGGGCATTGGAGAGTTGGGTTTCATTTTCCTGAAGGAGCCGTTTGAGCTGCTGCAGCTGCTCCTTCCGGAATTCCACATCTTTCGTCTGACCTGAGTTGTATGCCTCTCTCAGCTTCCTCAATGACTACACACAGTCAAGAAAAATACTTTTTTTGGCATTTATTCTAGTCCTTTTGAGATTTAGTTCATATTTTACTTCCCTTTCTATTGTTCACTTCTAAGGGTTATAACAAAAATCTTAATTCTTCGCAATTTTGTATAATACAGTATAACCTGTGGATTCGGCCACTTCCCATTTCCGACCAGAAAGGCTCAGTCCCAATCATTAGCTCCAGAGGCTCAATGTTAAAATAACCTGTTTTATCCGGCCACCTGCCTAAAGCGGCCAATGGCTGAGGATTTGCAGACCCTCTGTGCCGGCCACTCTTTAATCCGGACAGAACACAGGAAGGAATATTGTAGGTTGATTTTCTTCCTCTTCATTTCCCCGCCTTCTAGTCTCCCACCTTACCTCCCTTTCGCTTCCTTTTCCACTCCCCCTCTGTAATCCCTGAATTGACCTGTTGCTTGGTTGTCAAAGTCACATCTTCAGAGCCTCAATAGCGTGAAAATGATCATCAGAGTGTTGACCTAGTTCTTCCGTGCATCTTACTACCTTTCTTTAAGGCCATTAAGTGCCACGGATAAGTTCAAGTGCCATTTGGCAGAGAAGGGATGGATGCAAGAATCAGTTGATGTGATCACAAAGCTTGAAGCATCTCTGCAGGAGTGAGTGTGGTTACGCTAAATGAGCGCATGTCAAACAAACATTAAAGACCTCCAGACAATAAAATCAGGGTCTTCAAATTTCTCTAGGTATACATAAAATCAATAAAATCTAAGAAAATCAGACTACCTTACCTTTTGAGGATACAGTGTGTGTTTAATTTTCTTGGAAAACTGACTGGTAAGTACCTCTAAGTTTGCTAAGAGGAAAAACAGGAAAAAATTCCCTTTCATACCGGCCACCTGTCAGAAACGGCCAAATTGAAAAAGTCCCCCTTGTGGCCTGTATTACACAGGTTTCACTGTATTGAGTTCTTTTGAGCTACTTTACTTAATTTTGCTTTTTGAATAAACTCATTCTTTCTTTTCCCTTTAACAAATGAACCATACTTTTCATTATTTAATTCAGTCTTTCATTGCATCTGATACGTAACATTTAATTTGTTTTTATTTAGCCTCAATTCATCGATTAGTGAATGAGAAAACTGACCTGAGAGAATTTGGTGGCAACTTTGGTCTCTGGTTTATCCAAAGCTTCACTCATAATGAAATCGCAGGAGTATGTTCAATGATGTAAGAAAAAATTTATCTTTGTGATACACTATGAATTCAAATATTCCACCAATTATTCTTCAGATTGATCACTCATCTGTAGAAGAAAAGAGACATTCTGCACATGAATGAACATCATGCAAAAGGAAGGAATCAGGCTAAACTTAAATGGCCAAGCATCATAGAACAATGAAAACCTGGAATCCTTCTATCCAGAAAAAGCTGAAGGAGCAGAATGATACAACACAGCATCACTTTTTGCCAACTCACATAGTATTTGCTTGTATCAAGCACCAGCACTATATTCTTGCAATGCTGGAGAGCAAAATAACTCAACACAGACTTAGCTTAACACATTTGCTGCTGAGCACTTGAAGGTCCACACCAACCTCTCTTTGCCAAGTATTTTCAGGCTGTTCAAAATTGTACTGTTACTGACAAAAGCATTTATTTCTCAAGTTAAAAACTCAGAATTTGAAGGATATATTCAAAACTTTTCTAGTGCAATATTTTGTGTAGCAAGAAGTGGAACTCCACAAGAAGAACAAAAAAATGTAGTGGAACTTTGAATTTTGATACTCCCACACTCTCTCCAGTCCCTCCTTTGATGGTTACCCTGGTGTTTCACCAGCTTGTGACTCTTCAGGCTGCCACCCAGTTGGGTGACAGGATCATTGATAGGAACCTGTAAAAACTCTTCATGGATGTTACTATAGGGTCATACAACACAGTTTGGTATGTCATTTAACCCCCTGCTGCCATCTTTGCCAGAAAAGTTACAAAACACCCAGACTCGCACCAACACACCATATGGTGTGTTTGGTGTATCAGGTTGGAACTTTGAACATGCCATATGGCATGAACAGCAGCGAAAGTCTTAAGGGGCATATTTACCCAGCTTCAGGGAATGCAAAGCAGGGCAGAAAAAAAAAGTCATGTTTATTTCATTCATTTTGATTACTGAAGAAACATAAATGAGTCCAAAAATTCTCAAAAAAATAGTTTAAAAGATCTTATATCTTTGCAGGGAAGCCAGATTGAAAATACTCTAGAAGTTGTGGATGCAGATGTATGAATTAATTATTGAAAAATCCAGCTGGATTGCAATTCCAGACACAGGCTAATCTTGGAGGGTGGTTCCAATCAGGTCCCAGGAGAAAATTTGACGTGAATATGATGAAAACCAGTTTGACTTCAGTTCTCCAATCAGTTGCATTTCAGTCAGAGGACAGTAGGAAACTGAGTGGTTTCCAGCTCCAATCCACTCAAAAACCATTTGGAATCTAATTTATTTTTGGTTCTAATTATAATTAAATCAAAAACTGATGGAAACCTGAATGGTTCTCAAGATGGCAGAAGCATTAGCAGTGGGTAGAGAAAAGAATAAATATAACACCCAAATTTTCACTTTTTTTTTGACATTAGCTGGCATTTGAGCCCCTGAATGCATGGGACCACCTCCTGGACCTTGACAGTGAATTTTGTAGGGATTTGCACAAGGTATGGAACCCTTTCCATGGTAACTTACTCTTTATGAACATATTTTCAAATACATTAATCACCCAACCAAATTGATGCTCCAATGATTGCAAAATTACCACTGTGGCTTCCCTGCCAATGACTATACCAGGTGACCCTAAAAAAAAATCCAAAACTTTATGCACCTGCAGACAGTGCACCATATGAGTTACTGACAGGAAATTTACAGGTTTTTACATGCAAGATTTGCAGGTAATGTAAAAAAAATTTAATTGAAATTGACAGTAAAATATGTGAGTAACAATTTTTCTCCCACCTGATGTAGAAAGAGCGATTGTGCAAAGAAACATGCCTGACCCCAATAAAGGAAATGTTTGATGGGTCCTCTTTGGATATGTCCTTCAACGATCACCTGCCAAGGCAGCATGTTGGCAAATGCACTGACACATTTGCTCATGTGACCACTTGCACAGAAAAAGCTCTTAATATCATGTTCAGAGTGGGGGATTTCATTGAAATTTTCCTGAAACCATCTACATATATTGGGTATGACACTGAAAATTTCAAGACAACACTTAGCATGGTGTCCTGTCTGCAGATGCACGAAGTTCAGGATTTTTTTTGGGCCATCCAGTATATTTACTTGCTGCATATTGTATTCACAAAGGTTGGTTCTAAGAGAAGTAAATCTTTCAATATTGCTCTGCCTATGAAAAAAAGAGAGATTCTGGAATTCCTATTGTTGATAATGAGAACATAGCTTTATAGCACACCCCTAAGCACAATTCACATCATACTGAACTTTCAGATCAAGAAAGATAAACTCCCACCAGCTATATTCCACAGACACTCAGGTCCATTTTAGCTCCACCAGGATCTGGGCATGAAATGATTTAATCTCTTCAGGGATTAATTTTATGACATAAAAAAAAAAATTACAGGTCTAGAGTACTTTGCAAGTTGGGGGAACAGTGTTACCAACTGCAGTGAAAACTCCCAACAAATTGGCAACATCTATGGCAACTGAGCAGTTGGGTATCAGTTTTTGACCAATTTAAAATGCATTGAATCAAACGTCCACATTTGTGCCAGTCTCCCTGAAGAGGTTAAACAAAAAAACCACTGGAGTTTGAACAGCACACCCTTGCATGTAACCTAGGATTTTAAATGCTTGAATCCATAGAAATCAAATCCTTATGAACACATTTCACAGCCACTTTGAACCTAGGTGGGAACATCCTGATTCCGGGATGCAATATTTGCTCTAAGTCTGAAAATACTAGGGAATTCAAGGAAAACCAATATTTCATGGCTGCAAGTTTGTTACATCATAGCACATCCCCATGTGCACAGTAGGGCTTTATTTAACTATTTTCCAAAACCCAAATTCAACAGCTGCTAGGTTTTTTATGCATTAGTCAGGGGTTGCATTAGGTTTCTTGCCATAGGGGTCCCCGGGACCCTCGGGTCTGATATGGAAGGGTCCCCTGATAATTAAGGGGGTTACTTTCCAAGTGAAACACAAGGGAATCTTGAAGGGTTCCCCAAAAGGAAAAGTCCAGCAATCCATGTGTATTTGCTGACTTAAAATAACCAAGTAGTATGATATTCAATCCAGCAGTCTTGGGCCTTCTGCCTATGTGTCCCGGGGTCCCAGGATGTATGGGCAGGAGGCCAGGGCAAGAATCCTAGTGCAACCCCTGATTAGTGCAGTGAGTGTAAGAAGTAGATGTCAATAACAAGTGAGACAATGAAAAACACGCGCTGCTCTTTGACAATCCTTGGAGTTCATGAGAGAGCAGATAGCACAGCAAAGTTTTTTTGCAAAGATTTTCTATGAATCCTTGAATTGTCCTAAATTTCTTGTTCATTTTCTCCAGCATATAAACAATTATGTGAAGGCAACTCAAATTTTATTTTTACTCGAGGAAATGTATAGGCAGGAAAGTGATTGGTACACAATGAGCCACCAATCTAGGGCCAGAGCTCTTCCATCTGCCCATGAAAATGCTGCTCTTTGCAAAAAGATGGATGGGAGGGTATGGTAGGGCAAAAATTTTCTGGTAAGGGATGAAAGAAATGTAGGTCTATCACAAAGAGACTCATCCACAAGCTGCAAGAAACCAGCTCATCTGAGAAGAAGAAAAGGAAAGGAAGACTAAAACTAGCCAGAACTAAAGGAAAGCTGCATATGTGTATGAAACTACTGCTTCTCAAGATGATAATCCAAGGATGCAAAATTCCCACCTGAAAATTGCCAGACATATCAAAGAATCAGATATGCTCTGCAAATTTTGAAATACAGAGGAAAAAAAATAATTGAAAATAATTTTTTATTGAAAACAATTCTTAGGCAGTGGAGCAGGTCCTCCCATCACCATCCAGGTGCGAAAGGAGAAATAAAATTCCAGTTGCTTTTTGTAAATCACTCCAGTACTAAAATGGCTTGGAATAAAGAGGCAAAATTTCAGGATGGTCAAAGGATGCATAGATGTATGCATGAAAGAAACTTCATTTTGGACTTCAGGGGCACCACATATGTTCCAAGAGAAGTGCTAATTTTTTTGTCTCACCGAACATAAATTCAACAGTGAATAATTGCTGCTTGCAACACTTCATATGCTCTTGGTGTCCAGAGGAGATTATGCAATTCCAGTGTGAGCCCCATGAGATCTAGTTTGAGCTTAATAACTATTTAAAAATCTATAAATACAAAGGGTAATCAATACTTTTTTGAAAATGTATTATTTTCCGATGCAAAAAAGCAAGTGACTTCTACACATTCTGTGAACAAACTCTGTCTCATCATCCACATATTCAAGACCTCATGATACTCACACTGGTGTACCTCTCAATTTGACCTCAAGCTGTGTGAAACACCAGTGGCCTTAGTGGTTATAGGGAAGGAGAGGATGGCATAAATCAAACCCACACCTGCAGATTATCAGTCAGACATGTTTTTGAAACATCACTAACCCAGGATGTTCAATTGCATCTCTCAATGCTTTTCATATTGCCACTGTTGTTACAGCAGTCCTAAATGTGAAAAAGCTCCTTTCCAGCAAGTCTTGACTCAAAAAGCATTAGCCTTGAGGCAAACTTGCTATTTAGTCATCAGGTAAAGTTTTATATGGTTGTTTCCATTTCCCAAATCAGGTCTTGCTGGAAGGGAGTTTTATGCATGTTCAGGACTTTGCCAAACTTGTCAGTTTCGAATCCAGAGGCATGCCTCATCAGGGTATCATCTGTGCATGAATATGAGACTGACAAGGTTGCAGCAGTAAAGTGCTGATGAATAAGAGTATATTGATAGGATGCTAATAGATGAAGTCAATAGATTCTACATACAAAAAAAAAAAAGTTCACAATCTTTATTGAAAATCCCTCAGGAGAGTACATACTTGAGACCATTTACTGAATCAGATTTCTATGATGAGCTTTCTTTGATCAGTATTCATGGAGATCAGGTGCAACAGAGGTATGGACCTATCCCAGAAGACTACTGGGATAGGCTATAAAAATAAGCTGTCCTGTTACCTGATAACATTTCATATCACAACCATGTCAATGAATTTGAATTGACAACTAATTACATATGCAGAATGAAGTGAGAACGAAAACATTCCACAGCTGTCAACAATGATAATGGAAGAGGCCACAGTAGATAGGGTTCAGTAGTTCAGGAACAACAGCCATAAAATTTATACATCAAAGGTTTCCCATGTGAAAATTTCCTATAAGACCATATATGACTTGATCATATATTTAGCCAGTTTAACATATATGGGGCATATATGAACATATATAAAACATACATGGGGTTTGACACTGGTCACATAAAATCATATAAGAATGAAAATATATGGCCCCATATATTTTCATATACAGTATTGGCTCATACAATTGCACCATATATGCCTTGTCACATCTTGTACATATATTAAGTTAAACATGTCTATGTATGGTGAGAATGCCTGACAAATACCCACATTCTAAAAGGGTACATAATCCATATATTCATTTTTCTTTTCTCATGCCAACTTCCTTGAAATTTCAGTAAGTTTCTGATGAAATGGAACCAGTGGAGGGAGAATGGAGGGGAATAGAGGGATGCAACTAAATACATGGATGAAAAAAGGGAACTGAAAAGTTCATGCACTACTGCCCTAGAGTTCCCATGGCCTTTTTTCATCCTCGATACACTTTTGCTATCTAGGGAGGGTAGGGGTTTGAAATAAATAATTTGGGAAGTTACTTTAAAGGTTATACATGGCTAATTTTTCATGTACAATGTAATGGGTAAATAAAATCATCACAAGGTCATGGCTTTCACGTAAAAATCTCATGCAGTGGCAGCAGGGAGTGCAGATGCCACCCCCTTCTCCCCCTGGGATGAAGCTTGGTACCCCCTTGGAGGTATGATTTTTCTTCCCCAATATCACTTGGATGGGGTTTGAGGACTCCTCCCCCTCAGCTGCCCTACCCCCCTCTGGCCCACTGACCTCATGCTGTGCTCACTAACAATCATAAGACTTGCCTGTGGATATTCACCACAGTCAGACATGATGCCATAAGCCCATAACTTTTGACATTGTATTACAGATAATATATATTATATACCATACAATTGATAATATATGAATACATATATGGTGGTATATTGCAAATATATGATCATACATGGCCATATAGAATCATATACCGTCATATATGGAATTTCCATGTGGGTTAGATTGAGAAAGGATTAGAAAGGATTAGATTTAGACATCAAAGGTTTGCCAGAGTTATCAACTTTTTCATTTTGATTGAAGGTTTTTTCTGACAAGTTCAAATCTTTTTTTTTACAGGAATTTCTTTAAGATTATTGGAAGTGCAAATCAGTCATGATGTTCAGGAATTCATTGATGGGAGTGTCAGCAGAAAACCAGTATTCCTTAATGGAAACAAGTCATGGTATATCCACACATCACAACTTACTTTTGACACTATAAACCTCCTCATTGGTGCTTACAGATTCAGACAGGAGGGAGGAAGAAACTTTGAGGACTTATCCTTGCAAGACTCGATTGTAAAAACTTTTCCTTCATTTCAATAGTTATCCTATAGAAAATCAAAAAATCATAAATGGAATGAACAATGCTGAAGATGGGAAGCTAACAAACAAAGAACCTTGTTGATTTCAACTGAAAGACAGAGCAAATGGGATCAGAGAAGGAACAGCAACAGCTGCAACAGAAGGGAGAACAAGTGGAAACTACCAAATTGTATGATCTGGGTCCAGATCTACTTCACATGATAATCCAAGGTAATGTCATCCATAGACACCTTTCCCAATAAAAGACAAACATACGACAACTCTGTTGCTATATTGAGAGCAGTTGGATCATTACAGCAAAAGTTTCAATGTTATGTTCAACAATTTAGTTTCCAAAGAGTAGCATGAGTAACATAGTTTGCACTTGAGAGGATTCAAACAACTTTGTGAGTTAACCCTACATAACTGACAAATGTTGTCATTTCAGTCCAGAAAAAGTTCTGACTGAAAAGGGTTGTATCCTCACCTTTCCTATGTGACTTTCTTGGAATTATAAGTATTAATTTTTCCGTTTGTGTTTATATATGGCCTCACTTTCTCATACCAGGAACTATGTTGTATTGTATGGATATGACTCTGGACAGGGCTGCACCATGGTGATCTGTAAAAACTCCACTGTGTTCATTTTTTCCCTTCAAAGCACAACCTGGTCCACCATCTGTTGCCTGCAGGCAGCAGCTGCAGGGTCAAATCCAGCATTCTTCTATGAATTAGCTTCTCTATATTTGTCCTTTCTCTATGCTAGTTAGTCAATGAAACTGCTCTTTTGATGTCCCCATTGTATCCTTCTCCTGCATGTGGGAACCAATTTATTCCTGACAAAATAATAGTGTCCCATCTTCTTGTTTTTGGCCTGATTGTCTTCTGTGTGTTTTCATTGTTATTTTTCTTGAGTGAAACAAATTGTGAGTTAGGAATGCAGTTTCGTTGTATTCATTCCAGAAACACCAAAATGATAGAATGAAAAAGAGACAAGATAAAAAAGAATCCCCCCAAAAATAGAGCACAGCCTGGTTGTAAGAAAAATAGCATGAATGTGTGAATATAGATGACAAATCAACCTCACAGATACTCCTCCCACTCCAAGGCCTGCAAAATCAAAGAAAACCTAGTAAATAATCTAACATCTGGAGAGAGAGAGAAGAATAAGTGAATGTATAATTTTATCATCTGATGTCTGATAATATTCTATGATCACAAGATGGAAAAGGAAAGGGAGTCTTGATGAGAATATGCCTTGAGTATGTGTCTGATGGTGATGACAGTGAGGGATCCGGCAGCAAAGGAGAGGAGATACCTCCAACCAGGGAGGTGGGGAAATTTCCTCTTCTTCATCATACTTCTACCCCGGGCCACCTTCTGCGGCTCATAAGGTGGGTACCTCACACTACAATCCAAATCATTCAAACAGTCTCAAACCAGGTTTTTATTGATTTTTTTCTGTTGGAGGTAAAAGGAATGGACCTGCCAAGTTCTTCAGCAAGGCGATTGTAGTCCCTCCGAAGGACACTCTTCTTGTGTGAAAAAGTCTCAAATGTGGCATGGCCATGATAAGCTCCCATCCCACTCATCCCGACACCACCAAACGGCAGGGAATCCACTGCCACATAGCATCCCTCACATTTTAGTCTTTGCTCCAATGTCTTCCATACACATCATATTGTCAGGAACCCTGCTCATAGTGCTTCCTTGCAATACTCATCATGAGGTGAGTGTGAATTTAAGCTGGCTTGCCACATGCATGGCTAGATATTATATACAAGAAGCAAGAAATGCACTTATTTAAACACATATCCTTAAGTAAGAAGCAAAACGTCCTTAAAATTAGAAATGGAAACAGAAAATAGAGACTCAGCATTGTTAGACTCTGATCATAGTTATCACATAATGCAACTGTAATCATCCAATGCCATGCTTTTGGATGAACCTAATGTCAGAGGAACTACAAAAATAAATAAGAAGATTAACCCCTTCACTGATGCAGATGAACTGGTCTTGTCTCGAAAACAATTTGTGTGAAAACATGCCAGTGAAGGGGTTAAAAGAGTTATAAGAGAAGAGGGAGAGAAAGATACCAGCTGCATGAAGGATGACATCATTTAAGACCACAGCCCCAGAAGAGATCTCAGCTATGAATAGTTTCCCCACATCCAAGTGCTTCGTGAACACGTATAGAGCCAAAGGCTTCTCTCTGTACATATGGTATATCCAAGTGCCATAATTCAGCCCGAAACAAGAAAGATGGAAAATTATTTGGTGGTAATGACAGTAATAATCCATACCATGTTGAATGAGCCTTTTCAGAATTTACCATACCTTAAAAATATCACTAGCGACCTTCACCAAACAAGGCTTTCCAAATACAGGGTGGGTCAAAAAAAAAACTCCAGTTATCTTTATCACTCCACAGCATTGGTCCCCAAGAATTTGCTAAAATTGGAATAATGCCTCCATATAGAACATTCATTCAGCTTTCCTATGATGTCAACAGAATAAAGATTCATAGCAAAACTTTTTTGCAGTTAGATTAAGAGTATATGAGGTGGTGCTGGAAAAGTCAACAACTTCCTGGCAAGATTGCGAATGTGCAATCAAAGGAATGGACGTCATCTGGAGCACATCTTATATACTGGTAAGTGCACATTACAAGTGCTTCCTCTATTACACTGTACATAATTGCATCAGAATGATGCAATGGATCTTAAATCTTTCAGCATCAGTAAAAGCTAGATAAATGTTCTATATGGAGATACTATTGCAATACAGTCGAACTCTTGTTATAACGTTGTTGAAGGGATCAGGGAAAAATTGTCATTATAACTGAGTTTGCCTTTATTGACATTATGTTTCCCTTGTTTCAAAATAGATGCTACATACAACTCTAGTGAGAATCAGTCATCCTGCACTAGCTTCACTTTAAGCATTGGCCTACTAATTGCGATGTTCACACTTCTTTGGACATTGAACCTCTTTTGCAAGGATTTTTTTACATCATCTCAAGCAGATCTATGAAGTTTCTTGTTTTGTTGCATGTTCTTCTCATAAGTATGTATGAAGATGTCACGATTTTTCAAATTGTGGAAACAGATAAACTAGGAGATGAACACAAGAGATGTTCACAAGAGATGTCAGCTTTACTTCGCTCACTTTCTATTACACAAATTATGCATACTTTCTTGTTAATTTTGAAGGCTTGCCTCTTTTGCTTTTCACTGGCCATGTTGTCAACCAGAAATGCAAATGACGACTGAAGTCCTTTTGACTTGATCTTCTTAGTTACTGGGGATTGTCCCTCCCTCACCCTCCTCCAGTCACACCCACATGACTCTAAAGGAATGCTGATTCACTCACTCTTCCAATGATGGAAATTCCAGTCAAGAATGATGAATTGGGGACATCAACAATGTCTATTTCATCAGTGGGACCTTGAATGGACTTTGTTATAACTAAGGTACACGCTATAACCAAGTTCACTATAACTAAGGTAAAATGTCACATACCTTATGTGCTCTACACTAGGATCTGGTGCTCTTTGTCATTATAACTGAGGTTTCATTATAACCAAGGCCGTTATAGCAGAGTTCTACTGCATTTTCAGACTCTTGAGAAACTACACTGCGAAGTGTTAAAGGTAATCTAATATATTTTTGACCCACCCTGTAGTTATACAGTGCAAAGATCAGCAACAACATTAAATTATGAAATGAAGCCCAGCATGCATGAAGAAGTCAGTAGATTATCCCTTTGTCCAAACTCAGAGTTTGTGCTTTCTCCCTCCACCATCACCAAGGATTGAGCATTGAAATTATTTTCTGTTTTATATTCACCTGAAGCCTGAATAATTGTATCATTGAAGCAAACTGCTCCAGACTGTATCCGTTCCAGAAACAACTCCTGGCTCTCCTTCTCCATTGTGAACACATAAACGCAGAGTGGGGTGCAATTCTCACTGCACACATAAGCGTACAATCATAGACTTGTGTGTGTGCAACACTGGATCTCTAACTTCCAGTGAATGAATCAACAGAAGATGGGAATGAAAAAAAAACAGACCGAGTCTGAATGAAGTTAATGGCCTCATGAGCATCTCGAACATTGATGATAGGAAGTATTGGACCAAAGATTTCTTCTTTCATTACCGGGTCATTCGGTGAGACATCCACCAGAATAGTTGGTTCAATGTAACGATCCTCCAGGTCTGTCTTCCCTCCCAGTGCCACTTTACCACTTGAGAGGAGGGACTCTAATCTCCTGCAGGGAATGTGAAATGACATTTTTTAAGCTTAACAGCCACTTCCTATCAATATCTCCAGTCAAGAATTTTTCTTCAAATTCCAAAATTGATGAATTGATAGATTTCTTGAAGACTTTTATGGCTAGTTCCTATAGCAAGCAGTGATGCACTGGATGGGGCCTAGGTTGGGTACTGGATAGAGGATATCAAAAGGCACATTTTTGGCAGGAGCTCTACACTGTAGTGCATGTTGGCCATCCCTTCCACTTTTTTGGGAAGGAGATCTAATCAGCTATTGTTGGAAGAACTCTGGTTCCCTTGATGTTTTGATTATATTGGGTTGGAAAGAAAGTCTTGCAACACTTTCTAAAACTATTCATAAAAATTTTCAAAGGAATGATGGCTTTGCATTTGTATATGCTGGAATGTTCTCGAAGCTTCTGCCCTTGGGATATATAAGGGGGCTTCTGCCATTAGTTGGCAGCCATGGCTCTGATTGAACAAGCAACTCTTCGCCCCATCGTCTACTACGAGTTCCTCCAAGGACACTTTGAGAGAGCCGCCACGGACAACATCTGCGCTGCATTCAAGGGCAACGTTGTCCACTATTCCATGGTGTCTCGATGGTTGAAACGCTTGGAATCTGGCGACACGACCTTCGCAGATCGACCATGCTCAGGATGTCCATCTACAATCGATGACGAAGCCCTGCGGAACGCCCTCGACGCGAAGCCGAACGCCACCACTCGCAAATCGGCAACTACACTTGGAGTCACCCATATGGCCATCGGCAACCATCTGAACGACCTTGGCTATTGGAAGGTTTACTCGTACCTTATGGGTCCCTCATCGGCTCGGCGACTCTGACAAAGCAAGCCGTGTCAGCGTCTGCGAATCACTGCTCCTTCGTCCGCACAGAAAGGACCTTCTGAAGGAAATCGTTACTGGAGATGAGAGCTGGGTCCTCTACGTCGACCATACTCGCAAGAGTCAGTGGCTTCCACGAGGAGAATTGCCGTCACACGAACCGAAACCAGGGTTCCACGAGAAGAAGGTTCTTCTCTGCTGTCGGTGGGATTCAGAAGGAATGTTGTACTATGAGCTCCTGCCAACCGGTACCACCGTGACTGCCGTCATCTACGCTGCTCAACTTCAGAAGTTGGCTGGCGTCATTCAAAAAGAGCGTCCCAAACACTACAAAGTTCTCCTTCTGCATGACAACGCTCATCCACGTGTTGTGAAGATGACTCGCCAGACGATTCTGGAACCGGGCTGGGAAGTTTTACCCCATCCAGCGTATTCTCCGGACTTGGCCCCTTCCGACTATCACTTGTTCCGGGCCCTCAAGAATCACCTGCGGGACAAGGCCTTCGACGATCGAGCACAGCTCGAAAATGATGTCGGCCGTTTCTTCGCTTCGCAATCGCCAGAGTTCTGGGCAAAGGGCATCAAGCAGTTACCCGTGCGTTGGGAACATGTCATAGAAAACAATGGTCATTACATTGTAGACTGAAATTGCAGTTCAATAAAGTTATAAAATTTTTTAAAATTTGCATAGAGTGTTGCAAGACTTTCTTTCCAACCCAATAGTTGAAATGCAAAGCACAGAAGAAAAAGAAGAAAGATGATTAGAAGATAAAGATCTGAAATTTCCAAGATCCCTATTTGTATTATAGGTATAATACAAATATCCCCATATTTCCTATACTTCCTTTGATTCTGGGAAGTTGTAGGGCATTTCCCTTTTGCATGGGGGTATGGATACTGAATGATGGAATGAAGGTGAGATGCTGGTTGAGAGCTTTTATGACTAAAAAGATACGTCTCATACTGCTATAGGAGAGAAGAACTCCCCAACTTTGTCCACCTTTAGGAGGTGCAAACTCCCCCCCCTCCTTTCCTTCAATTGGGTTGTGCCATTTTCTGAAGCTTCTCCTGGCTTAACACACATACATAGTATATGTGGATCAGAGTTAGGGAAAAATTTTTTCAATGCAAGATGTTGCTACACTCACTAGCAAACCTCTTTTCCTGAAAGGAAAGAGATCATTTATAGATCCATCCTGCCTGTCTGTCACACACTTTGGTTGCCTGAATATAGTTAAAAAACTATTCACTGCAAACATGTTTAATCATATCTATTTCAACAAGACAGAGACTAACTTCCTCTTAGGCAAAATTAATGCCCAAAAAGTATTTTTATTGCCAAGTTTGAATTTTGAAGTTATCCCAAGAGAGAAAGGAGACAGCAACTGCCAGTCTCACTGGATTTTGACCTTAAAGTGCAGGTGTCATGTAAGCCTGGATTGGGGTTTCACTTCCCTTAAACCAAAGCTGCTAGATCCCTTCCAGCCTTCATAGCTGAGCAAAAAATCCATTGCTGAATGGAGAAGCTGTACTTGTCAACATAGTCAGGGTTGCTAAATGAACTAATGCCATGTCATTGGCAGTGCTGCATGAAGTAATGTCCGATCCTCTTCCTATTCCCAATAGACTGATTACTGGTCTGAGCTTGCACAGTATGTTTTTTGGTGTTATAATTTTTCTACCTGTTATAATAAGTTAGGTCTATTAAAACACTATTTCCTTCATTGAAAAAAGAAAGAAACCTCTCATTGGCCAATTTGGCAATGTCAACAATCCTGATTCGTGAAGGATTCTATAAAGAGGCAGTCTCTCCTTCCTGCATTATCCTCTTTCTTTTTTCATGTCAAACACAATCACTTACTTTGGTTCTTCTACCCCTCCTCCTACCACATATCCAGCCTCTAATTCAGCAAGAATGGATATCCTGAGAAGAGGCTGGATAGACCAGATGCTGGAAAATAGCAGAATATCTGATATATGACTACTTGCAGGCCTACTAGATTCCTCTTCACTTTACTTCCATTAGCTAGTATATGAGTTTTACATCCTGAACAAAATGAGAAATTGAATGATTAAGCTTTACAGTGGTGTTCCTACATCGGCTTCACACCTAGGCCAGATGTATTGCACGCTAAGTGCAGGATCATGAAAATTTGGAGATGTTCTTAGACAGTTACAATCTATCTCCATATTTCAATTGCAGTTTGAGATTTTAACAAGAGACGTTTATGACTGATCACCAATGTCTGCTCTAACTGCAACAGAGCAGGGCCATGCACTTGTCATACTACCCATGCCATACTCTGGAACTACTTGTACACTGGTGGAAAAAATTAAGGTAACACCGTTTTTCATCAATAATTTAAAATAGTAAATTGGAAAGTGAAAATAAGTTACTATGCATAATTTCACATGCAAATTCTGAATATGCAATCGAAATTGATCTACGTGAGTTGCAACATGCAAATTAGTGAAGTCTATTAAAAGGCGGTAGCTATTGACTTCTAAGCATGTCTGTTGAAAACATGTAATTATTTGTTTCATGATGTATCATAACTCTGTTATTACCAGTCCAAAGTTTCTCTTTTTTTGTATGCTCATCAATAATGATAACTTGTATCACAGTACAAATTTTCATTTATATACCTCACAGAATAAAAATGCTCTTCTGGTTTTTGTGATTGTTACCTTAATTTTGTCCACCAGTGTAGTTTGCAAATATATAAGATCTTCCTGAATGGAAGTTAGAATTTTCCATCACTTAAGCAGCATTCTGATAGTAGCTAAAATAAAAATCTTAACTTACATGTACATTACTCTTGGCTCCTACAATGATGAATGAAAAAAAAGAAAACCAGTGAAATAATATTTCTTTGTCAATGCAAGCATCCAACTTCTGCTTATGTAGCCTTACTAAATCTGCTCCCAAAACTTGTGGAACAGGCTTCCAACACTCAAGAAATAGGGAGCAGAAAAAAAAAACTAAAGCCATGAAAATACCAGTTCATGTATGAGCCAAATGTCACTACATTGCATAGTTGGTAGTCATATCTGTGACTCCAGCCCATTCCTAAAGGAAAAAATTCATTGCATCCAAAAGTATTCTTCATATCACCATTCCCCACATCTAGTAATAATTGCCTCAGCATCACGTTACCATGTACTAACCACGATAGGATGGTACAGTCACACAGAAAATGAAAGGACAGAGTGACTACACAGTTCAGAACAAGGTTTTCCCAGCCTCAATTTCATACACCATCAACAGAAAAGGGCTTCCTCTCTGTATCTGATACAGTGTTAAAAACCTATGCTGATAACCTGGCATCATAAGAAGAATACTGTATAGGCCAAGGATCATTGCATTATTTTCCCCATAAATAACAGTAAATAACACAGCTCACAATTACACTGTCATGTCATGTTCGTTTGTGATAAATTTTAGCTAATATGTAGCTTTCTTTGCTTCTTGTATAGGGAATACACCTTAAAAAATATGCTTTTAGGTTCTGATGAAGTTATACCTACACATGCTGTAAAGCTGACAATAAGCTTCAAATCAGATACATCCTCTTCATTTGCTTTAAGCATTCATTCAAATTCAGTAGCATCAACATAGTGAGGAACCAAAGGAACAAGTGGGACCAGAATGTAAGATCCTCCTTTCATACTCAATCTGGAAAAGCCTCCTTCCAAAAGCGCAGGAAATATGATCTAAATTATACAAGCCAACTCAATAAACAATTTGTCATGGCATTGTACTCCAGGATAAACCTGACTCCTTTCTCTCTGCTTTCTCCTCATGTGCTTCAGTTCCTCTGAAGAATGCTTTACTTCAATACTTAATTTCATGTAGGAATGGTCTTGGTCCTGCCATATTGTTGTATTTTATGCAGAAATGCCTTGGAATTAAAGTAAGAGAGGTCAGAAGACCATTGGAATGCACATAGTGGGACATATGCCCAAATGCTTCACATGGGAAATTGAATTATATCAGCCAAGCATGTATTTTCCTGACTAGGATCCTTGAAACTATAAGTTAGAAACACCACCATGTATCCACTCAGAAAAAGCCTGTCATCAGAAACTACACCTGTACACTGTCAGAACATGTCAATGTTACCATACTCTTAAAAACAAGAAACATTTGTCAAATCTCTTTTAGACACTAAATATACCAACAAAAAAAACTTGATTCTAATTCCTTGTGCTAGAAAGGTAGAACTTCCTTCATGGATGTGATGAGTAAAGGGTGATCATGTCTACTCAAAGTGTTCATGTCCAGAAAGGGGAGGAAGGGATAGATAAACATGAAGCAAAAAACACAGAAAATGAAGACAAATTCCTTTTTCCAACTTCAGTATGGGGAGAATAACTACATCCAGCATGACTTGTCTTCTCTGACCTGTCTGAAACAAAATGGCAGGGCAAGTTTTCAGTCAAGGATGCATAAAAGGGCATCCTCCAAGAAAGAGTATCTTTTGCCTCCAGCCTGGCTCATTGGATGGATAAGAACATCAAGCAAAACCTACTCATCAGTGCCAGATTGAAAATGAATTTGTTTTTTTTGCATGTAGACAGGGTCTCTCTATAGTTAGAACTCCACCTATCTAAAGTAAAGACATATTGGTGTCAACTTCGATAGAACAACCAAGTGAAGCAATAGAATTCCTGATATGAGGATATCTGCTTCAATTTTCACATTGAAGTTTGCCATTTGGCTTTTTCCTGTTTTCCCATTGAGACTGACAGATGTTATGCAAGGAGGAGGGAAGATGGCTCTACTTGCTGTGATTTCTCCTTCCACATGGATTCCATAATGCTGCATGGTTTCACAAAAGGAATCTTTCAAAATTTTCTAGATAAAATTAAGGCCATGATAGAACCAGAAATGAAGGTGTCTTTATAATGGAAAACTGCAGGGCTCCCCAAAGTATGATCTCCTGATACCCATATTACAGGGGTGGCCAAAGTGCAGCTCACGAGCTGCATGCAGCATGCAAAGTGCCTTAGGAAACATTCACTTTGGACCCCCTTGCCATATTATCAAAATCCCTCCCAACATACAGCCCTTACTTGAATTCCATTGAATTAACTTTCCTTTCATTTGAAGTGGAGGGCAAGAGACAGCAAAGTTCTCCATCAGCTCCCATTATAGATAACTCCTGTACTGTGGCTCAAGATGTGTGTCTTTGGTGCAATATTGCAAATACATTCCTGAAAAATTGTGACACAATAAGAAGAGTTTACACAGCTGATTTACGGCACAGAATGCATAAATACATTTATATGAACAGGTAATTGAATAGTGAAGTCATTTCTGAATGAAGTTGTTCTTTCCATGCCAATAAAGGAAAAGGGACTTTGCTTCCACAATCTGGTTTCCTCAGGTTTCCCATCTGGACATGATTTCCATGAGTGGGAATGCTCACCCGCTGCTTATCAGTTACACTAAGGAGGATCTCCTTTTCTAGCACATTGGGTCAGAATCAAGTTGGTTTGGTATAATAATGAAAATCTTATAGCCATGACTTCACTGAAAAAGTCTAGTTTGAAAGCCACTATACAGAGAACACTAAGATACCATAAGATTAAATCACAGATTCTACGGGAGGGTGTAGTTATTAGGGTACTGTCAAGATAAACAGATCATACTTGAAATGTCTCTCATTGATGATGCGGGCAAGGTCCTTGGACTTCTGAATGTCAGGTCCATACCACTCCTCAAGGATCCTTTTAGCATGGCTGATGAATTGATCCTGGACAGACTTGGTGCATATGAGATAATCAGGGGCAAGGCATGTCTGACCAGAATTGATCAGCTTTCCCCACAGGATCCTCTTCACTGCCATCTCCATGTTCGCCGACTCATCAACATATGTTGGGCTGCAGGAAAATGTCACCACCTGGGATTTCTTACTCAATAAAAAAAAAAGACAAAATAGAAGAGTCATTGAAGTTACTACCTCTTTCCACCCAATTCTAGGGTGGTGGGGGTGAGATATTCATTAACAGCAGCACGCACTGCTTTCCCAATCTGGGTTCCTCCAGTGAAAAAGACATAGTCAAACCTCTCCTTCAACAGGTCCTTCGTTTCTTCCACATTCGCATTGATCGCCAGGTAGCATCTCTATACATATATACATATATACACACCAACATTCACAAGAAATAATAAATCCAACACCACAATATACTTGTCAAAGGGGATAACAGTCTTATACAGTCTCACAGTGGGTGGACTTTTATTTTTGCACATGAGGCAGGGGAGGGGAAAGAAAAATTGATAGGATAATTTCTTGCATCAGCTATTTGAGTCATGGCAACCATGGAAGGAAAAAATACGCTTTGCAGTTCACAAACTGAAATCAGTGATTCTTGTACAGCACAAATTGAGTTAGGTTCTTCAAAAAGAATCTCCATGTGACATATTGATTAGAAGGTGGTATAATTAATTCAAAGAAACTGGGAACACGCTACACAGGAAAGGCTCAGCACAAATGAAGGTGATGGTTCATGTTGGTTTATTACAGATTCTAACAAATGGTGCTCATATTTAAGTTATCTGATAATAAGTTTAAACATTAAAAAACTTGCAATATTTAGCTACTGTCAGCTGCAAGCTTGATCAATATGTTGAATTTTCTTCATGATAAAGAATTTTAAAACCCATTCTATAATATATCCAATATTCAACATTATAGCATGTGATTTTTCACTTCAAATCACAATGATCCAACCTCAATTGAATCTTTTTTTAAAATTATTATATACAGAGTGTCTTAGAAAACCCTTCACATGTTTAAAAGAATAGAATACAAAAGGTAAAGAAACAACATTGAAGAATAATATACTGCAGTGGTGCCCAACCCGTGGCCTGCAGGCAAAAAGTGGCCCATGAGGCCCTAACTCACAATAAATACCCTTTGGTTTCCTTAAAATAGTCTCCTACAATACTAGTGACTGGTCTGTGATGGGTGTGGGAGTGAGTTATGTGGCCCCCTAGCCAAAAAGGTTGGGCACCACCGATATACTGCATTTAAGACCACCTTCATAACAATAAGTTATACCACAGAAATCCATTTCTTTCAGATAACCCCACAGCCAAAAATCACCGACTGTCAAATTGGGCAACCTCACTGGCCACTCACAGAGCCCTCTGCAACCAATCCATTGTCCAGGGAAGTGTTCCTTCAGAATGTTGCAAGCCTCAAGAAAAAGTCATGATATCTATCATGACTTCCCACAATATCAGAACCACCTTTTCCAACAGGATGGTGCCCCACCACATGACTCCCTTGAGGCTTGCAACATTCTGAAGGAACATTTACCTGGATGGTGACTTGGTCACAAAGGGCCCTGTGAGTGGCCAACAAGGTTGCCTGATTTGACAGTTGGTGATATTTGGTTGTAGGGGTATCTGAAGGAAAGAGTTCAAGTCACTGAACCCCATAATATCCCAGAGAATGTTACAGCCATATTCCTCTGGCTATGGTGAGAGAGCAATGGATGACTTTCCCCTCAATATCAGATGTGCTTTGATGCAGAAGGGAGACTCTTCAAATAAATGCCACATTGAAGCATCAATGCCCATACAGATTTTGGTGGTATAACTTTCACTTAAGAATGGAACCTTCAATCTAATATACATGATGAGTCAAAAGTCACTGGATGACTTTGAACAGCTATAACTCAGCAAGAAAGGCATTAATTTGCAAACATTTTTTTTTTGCATATGAAAGAATGTATGGTAACTGACCAAACAAGATGGAAATTTTCATGAAATTCTTGCAATGGGGTGACTCCACACAAAACGAAAAGTAAAATTTTCTAAATAAAATAAATATTTAGGGTGCAACAGACACACTAATCATGGTTATTTTCTGCTAGTTTTTGCTGCTCCAAATGGTTTTCTGGCAATGCCAATGAACTTTCTCTCAAGAGGAACATGTGTGTCATCATTCATTTCTTCTCTATCTATGAAGGAAATCTTTCTGAAGTGAAGCATCGTTTTGCATTGAAGACAGGTAGATAGGATGGGTTGGGCCTATTGAGTGGCTTCCCAGGTTGTTGGACCTGACTCCATTTGACTTCTGGGTGTGGGGTTTCATTTAAATACCAGGCATGTGCCAAAAATTCGTGCATGATCAATGAACTGAAGCAACAATTCACTGAGAAGATTGCTGGAGCTGCCTTTCAGTGATGGCCCACGTGATGAAGCTCTATGGTGCTCAATATCATAATTGATAACTGCAGTAATTTTTATGCCAAATAAATTATCTCTTTTTTCAATGTTGCATACATATTAATTAGCACATGTTCTTTCCTATGCAAAAAACTGCTTGCAAATCAATGCTTTCCTTGCCAAATGATATCTGTTCAAAGTCATCCAGTGACTTCTAACTCACCTTGTATATAGATGGTTGTGAGTGAGTAACTGATGCTGATTCTAACCCATGTTCTAGATCATTGTAGATCTAGATCCTGAATCTTGGCATAAAATAACTATTGGAAAACAGAGCTCAGAAAAAATGTGATGTTGGGGGCATATGCCCTGAAGGCACATTTTTTGGAGGGGAATGTTTCTGATTAATTTTTTTCCAATTCAGCAAATCAGGGAGACATAGAAAGGCTAAAGCTTGAAGGAACTTACCTGTTGAGATGCTGACTTCATTTTTAAAAATCCTGATTCAGATACAAACCCTCAGGGCATATTTTCTTGGGGGGGACTTTTGCAAGAATTATTTTTGTTCCAGCAAATCCAGCAGAAATATGAAAGTGACACTTGGTGCACAAATAGCTATTACACTGCAGACTTCCAAATTTGGATGTGAATCCCAGGAGGGGCTACCCCTTTATTGGGAGGACACTTTAAAAGAGTATTTTTCATTTCGAGGAAACAGGAGAGAGACGTAAAGCTAAAATTAGATTTAGCGGTATCTGTCAAGATCCCAATTTCAGGAAAATTCTTATTTTTAAGATAAATCCCACAGGGGGACATATTATTCTCAGGGTGACATTTTCAAATAAATTTTTCCCCTCCAGCAAATCAGGCTTAAATGATGGCACTTGGCAACTTGGCACACAATAAGCTGTTCTCATGTGGGGAGCTGAAACTTGGTATATATGTTTCTGATACAATATGCTGCAGATATCAAGAAAAATCATCCTCTTATCATGCATTCCCTGTGGGCTTATATTTTAGGAAAGGCATTTTCCAGGAAAATTGTTTGTCTCACTGAAACAGGAACATTAAGAAGGCTGAAATTCTGTAAACACATAGTTCTACGAAAGATGACTTCAAGGAAATTCTCACTCTTGAGGTCATTCTCTTGGAGCACAAAATTTTCAGGTGCCACCGTTTCTAATAAACTTTTTGTGTCAGCGAGACAGAGAGCTCTGGAAAACTAAAGAATGGGCGTAGAAATATCTGATGGGTTGATGATTTTAGGAAACATTCTACTTCTTGGGAATATCCCCTGAGGATATTTTTCATTTGTTAGTTGCTTTTTTAAATTGCAAAATTGGCAAATATAGAAGTGAAGAACCTCCACTTGCTTAACATTGTTAACATTTTAGATGGACAATGACTTTGCACAACCAGAAGTGAAAGACAATGAAAAATACCAATGACCAAAGGAATTGACCACATTGGTGCATAAAAAATAGATGCTTCAAATACATCAGTATTTATCTTAGATAATAATTGCCACAGGCATGACCACATTATACTATGGTACAAAATATTATTCTTTAATGTTTTTTTCTTAACCTTTTGTGTTCTATTCAATTAAACATGCGGAGGGATTTCTGGGGCACCCTGTGGATCAGAGGTTGATTTTATTTACTGACATAAATTTTCTAAATTGGAACTGCACGAGGAAAAAGGCAGAACTTTAAATCATGTCAATTCACTGGAATAAAAATTGAGATCTGAAAGAAATAAAATCAAATGGATTTGGAAGAAATAAACACTAAATTTCATTACGATTTAATACAACTGAAACCAAGCATTGTATGAGTTCCCCCATCATTGGATGTAAAATCGAGTGTGGAAGCAAGGAGAATGCAAACCGTGTCAAGATACTTGGGGATGAGTTCAGCAAGAAGTTTGGCAGCATGGGTGGCAACCTCAGAAGGTTTGATGACAACCACATTCCCTGCAGCAATGGCGCCTGCTGCGGGGCACAGCGCCAGCTGAATCGGGTAATTCCAGGCTCCAAGAACTAGGACCAGGCCATAGGGCTCTTCGCGGATGAAAGGCAGGTCAAACAGAGTCACCATGGACTTGGAGACACGAATGTCTTGCGTGTACTCATCAAGGTTCATCAACAAACCCCGGATCTCGTTGATTACAAAGTCTAGTTCCCCCACCACTGTCTCTGCATGTGGCTGCAAGAAGAATTAAGTTCATTATTAAAAAAATACTTCATTACGGGTTAGCTTTGTCAATTTCACCATTTGGCAAGGCTTCAAATACGATACAGGATGGAGGCGACTTCAATGTTGACTCTGTGAATGCATAGTTCTTCTCCAGAAGTCTGTTAATCTAAAAATGTGATAAATTAACAAACCGAATAATTAAAAAAGGTCTGAAGAATACCAAAAGGACCGAAAACATAAGATCCAAAAAGACTGCATGATGCAGAAGCAAAACTTTAGACCACACCTATTATCCTGGATAAAGATTGTGAATAACGAAAAAAAAAATGGAAGGAACGTGGAAGGCCTCTGTTCAAAACATGTGAGACGTGATAGCGATTGGAGCTCTTACACGCGATTCATTGAACAACGAAGAGGTCACCACTATTGGCAACTGAAAGTGACCTCTTTCAAGTCTCATTATGTCAACCACTGGCGACTCTCACTTGCATCGCTAGAACGCAGAAACTCAGAAAACATTGCGATAAAAACGAAATAGTCCATGCTGTCCAGAACGCAATTGCGGAGAAGTCCAATTCTTAACTCTTTTATGCATAACTTACCACTTAAGAGAAATTAATTAATTGAACTTTTCGAATGGAAATTTGTGCGTCTACGCTGCCATTGGCCAAGGAAATAAAAATTAGCAAGATTTCTGTCATTTCACGAAGGTCCCATTCTGATGGGAGATTTTTTCAATCTTCCCGATTACTATTCTTCGTCTATCCGACATGGGAGATCTAATTTACATGGAGAAAGCAGTTGGAACACATGCTACAAACTACTCCAACCTCTGAAGAATTGCGTAACTTTTGTGAACAACTAAAAGAATATCATCTTAAGCGGGAGCGAAATCAACCTTGGGCTTAAGGCAAGAGATCAGCCAAGGATCGTCTCAATTCCCTCCGTCATGCAATGACACGTCTCGAACTGTGCCATTTCATCTCCAAGGGGGTATGTATTGTTCACTACTATTGAATGCACGACTGGATATGGCCTGCTCTTACCTTGCGAAAATCGGCGGCGAGGGCATTGCAGAACTGAAGTTCATTTTCCTCGATGAGCCGCTTGAGCTGTTTCAGCTGCTCTTTCCGGAACTCTATATCCCTTGTCTGACCCGCAGCAAAAGCCTCTCTCAGCTTCCTCAACGGCTACGCACACGAACATCCCATGGAAAAAGGTCTTTTATCGACAATTCTTCCGGCTTTGCAGCATTTTTTGCATTCTTCCCTTCCTCATTTTGTCCTTCACTATTCAGGGTTAAAATATTTTCTTTTGGTTTTTCTTGATTTCATATTTATTACTTCATCCACTAATTTCTCTGACCAAATTGATCCTATATGTGCTTATTTCATGAGTGTCATTTCATCTTTTCTACTTGTGAATAATTCTGTCATAATTTGCTTGAATCTCCGATTGTGTAAATTGGTATCCACAGAATATTCACTTTTTAAATTTCCCTTCTTCTTCTTTCTTTTGAGCAGATGAAAGAACTGACCTGAGAGAACTTGCTGAGGTCTTTGACCAGAGCTTCATCCAGAGCTTCACTCATGATTCAATCACAAAAGATGTTAAATGATGTGGAAATTGAAAATTTCTTGCATGTGATATACAACGTATTCAATTACTCCTCCGATTACACTTCAGCTTGCTCACTCATCTGCAGAAGAAAAGAGACATTTTGCATGTGAAGGAACATTCTGCAGCAGTAAGGAATCATCCTTAGACTGCATCATAGCACACAAAGCCTGGAATCCTCCCATCCAGGAAGGCTGAAGGAACAGACTGACACGACACGGCATCACTTTTCACCTACTCCTGCAGTGTTCGCACGTATCAGGCACCCGGACTTGCATTGCAGGAGAGCGAAAAAAAGTTCATCACGGACTTAGCTTAGGGGGCATACTTATTCAACATTAGGGAAAGGCTACAGATTCTAAGGGTTCGAAATTTTCTCGAATCTTTAATTGAAGGTTGAATAATGAATTAAATTTCGGGAAAAGATACTGAAAACATACACGAAAATAAAAAATTATTCAATTAATATGATAAAGAAGAATGAAGATAGTCATTTAATTAATTCCTTTCACTTACTCAAAGGCCGAAGACGACCTTCTGACTTTGTACCCAGCGTTCTTTGGCATTCAACGTGAAACTGGTTAGAAGATAGGAGAATGTCAGAGGCGAATGACCCCATTACGGAGACAAGACTTTACTGCCCCTTTTTCCTCCTTCTTCTTCCCTACTTAAGGATTCTCTAAAGTGGATAGAAAGTGGTCGAAATCTAGGTCTTCATTAACATGAAAACGGTGCATGTGGGTCGAGTGCATTGCATTTCATACGCGGTACTTTCCTTTATTTTCTTTTTCTCCTTTCATGAGGACATGAAGGGCTTGAGGCCATCGGATAATATGGCATAGACAGTGACAAAATTTTGTCCCCGATTCTCGAGTTCCGATCGCAATCACAAAAGCATGCGGTCGAAGGAAAGATCTCGGCTACTCATGAAATCGCTTTTCCCTCATGAATCTCAAACTTTTTTTCTTTCTCATAGGGTATAAAACTCACAAATAACAGAGCAACCCAGCAAAAACATATTCCTATTCCTAATCGATTCTAAAACTCTTTGCCCAAATCGGAACATACCGTACTTAAACACACGCTTCACTTCCTTCTGTATCGGAAAACCCTTAAATCCCAAGTTTCCGAAGCTACGCGTGCGCACTCATCCCGAGTTTTTCGGGGGTCCAAACGGCTGAGCCAAAATACGCGAAAACTTGTTCCTTTTTGCTAGCCACGAGATTCTATACCTACAGCCTCACCTAGCTTTCTTACTTACCTACATAGACAAAGAAAAGAAAATCTTGGGCTTGGAATGATACACCCTAGGAGGCCATCCGAGTCGAGCATGGGATTTAAAGAGTTACGCAGCAACAGAAAAAGAGCATTAAAGGAGAAAGAAGGTTGGAAGGATTGAAAACGGGTAGGATAGATGTAGAACAGGTAGCAGCTGGATTTCGGCTTCCCTATCTCTAAACTTCCGCCGCCACTGACTTCAACACTTTTCTTAGGTGCTCAGTAGTAGCACTCAGCATCAAAAGTCAAGAACTTCGGCCGCAGTACCAGTCCTATACTGTATAGGCCTAAAAGAACTTCAACCGTATTTATAAACCAATTTTCGTTTGAAACGGTACCTTTTCTATGTGGGAATTGAAAGGTTAAACCATCTGCCATGGGAGAATGCACCATCTGGTAAACCTGTAGTCATCTCCGCAATAAGATTCAAGCCGTTTCGTCGGAGTCTCCCTTCAATGTCATGACAGAGCAAATGAAATATTAGAACCTACCTTTTCCCCAGGAATATGCAATCTTTTTAATACTTTTTCTTGGTTGCACTCGCACATTTTTTGCTTTCGATATTCCTTTGAAGAGCAAAGACAAAAAAAAGAAGAAATTTAGGCATGCTGAACATGGCTAGATTTATTCCAGGACACCCAAATCTTCCCGTGTTACACTAGAATCCACTCTCATACGATGATAAGCGGAATTCACAAGATGTGGCAATGATGTCAGAAATAATTCTTTGATTCTGCTGTCGCATGAAAGCGACGCAGAAGACCCCAACCCTAGTTGTGACAAAGCAGATGCAGAACTCTCTTTGACGGAAGGAGACCCTTATTTGCGCATCTGATATCTCCTGAAATGGTTTCCTTTAGACTCATTGAAGGGAAAGATTTCACCTTTCAAAAAGTACACTAGATCGTATCCAGGAAAAATGAATGTGGTGATGTCAGGGAACTTCACTGTAGGAAGCCTGGCAAATAACATAATTTATTTTGCGCATTTTCCTATCCAAACTTTTGACTTGAAAATTATTGTCAACAGGAACTCCACTGTTGCGCGCGATTTTAATCTTGATATTCACTCAAAACCGAGAACAAGTTCCACGCAAGATTTCAACCCTCAACGAAGTGGAACACCTGACAAAAAATATATTGCTGTTCAATTCAATGGACGTTCTGTCTCGGGAGGCTAATACACAGTAAGTCCAGCCAGTATAAGATAAATCGCTACATTCACCTCAATTGACAGGAAACACAGATTCCTTTCCCAGTGTACAGTAAAAACAAAAAGTGCTCCGCATGGGTACCATGCCTCCTTAGCATTTTCATGCATGTACAAACCATCAAACAAACACGACAATTTGCAGAAATTGCCGGTCGCGATGTTTCGGAACAGATGTCCTTAACTTAGGCAAATCCATGTCAAGCATTAAAAGAAAAGACGAGGTCACTTGAAAGGTCAGGGAACAGTTGGGCGGGCACTGCAAAACGACAGACGTGAGGTCGCACGTAACCTTGCTCGTAATTCCAAAGTCAACCACTTTCACTGGAACGTGACTTGATGCGAAGGGCAAATGCATATGCAAACAGGCTGCTAGAAACTGTCTTGAAAAGCATCCCTCTCAAATTCTTTCACGACAGACTGCAAGGAAGAAGCTATAGTATACTGAGGAGGATCGTATTCTTCATTCCTCCTCTTGTAATGCCCTGGGGAATAATTTTCGTACGCCGTACTTCCGCTTATTTGTACAAAAGGAACGGTTCACATCTCATCTTATCACAGGAAGCCAAGTCCCTAACGCTTCTCTCTTCCTATTACCTCACCTTTGGTCAAAGTTAACCTGGGGTTGGAAATATGAGAACGAAAGAGCAGAAATTGTTTTCCTGCTCATATTCAGTCCCATCATGATCATCAGACTATCCAATGAGACATGGTGGAAAATCATATGTGTCAGAGTAAACGCAGGATCCTCTATAACCAAGCACATGTGACAGTGTTCCAAGCTAAAAAAAAAAATTTTCCCGTCAAAGCGCAACATTGCTCAATGAAAGGTACATGGCCCATAGAATAAATTCAACTACCAGCATTGGCGATACTACAGCTCGAACGTTAATGGCACTTCGGCACTTCTATAGATGAGGCTGAAGATTAAGACCCGTGGAAAAAAAAGGGGAGATTAGGATACAACTGAGAACGGCTCTTTCTTCACTTCCTGATTGCGTGAGAAAGATTGGGAGGGAAGGAAAAAGCCCCTGGAAGCAAAATTTCCGCCTTTCCTGATATTCAATTCCATCATCGTCAGCCGATCACTTTCGATTCCTACTTGATAACCTATCTTTCTTTATTATTTTTGGCTTTCGTGACTGGAATGACAGAATGTGACCTAATGGAAGGCGTCAATTCAACACTTCTGAAGTCACAAAGACTTTCATACAAAATTAAAAAGAGCCTCCTTTCTACTGGAGATATTCGATTGGGCTAATTTTGCACTTGAATTTTTGAAGACTAAAGATGTCACGGAAATGCTTCCCAAATACTAGGATGAAGGCAGCTATGGGGGTTCGATAAGGATGAAGATTGAAGAGTGGATCAGGAACTTCATGGGTTTCCAGCAATTTCTGTGCAATGGCTGACATTTCGGGCGAGGAAATCGAACAATAACTGACACACCATTAGGAAGAACCACGAGACCCATAAGCACCCACCGACACACACTCACGGAGGAGCCGTGAGTACACTGATAGGGGGAGAAAGAGAGCACGGTGAAATGGGAAAAGAATATATGGCGTACATAACTGCACTTTCATTGCAAGTGACTGAAGACGGGGATAGGACAAGGATAGGCCTATCGAACGGAATGGAATGAACAGGCAAGAATCCTCCGGCTCCTCGCCAGAACATACAACCAAGACCTTGAAGCTGAACAGGGCATCTTATCATTTTCCCTCCCTCACTCACTCACTCACTCCCATATACAGTGTTGCCAGAAGGTTGAGGAATAGCTTGCAGGAATCAAGAAAGTTACCAGCCAAAATTTATTCAAATAACTAAAAAGCAGCAAAAAAAAAAGGGATCGCCTATAATCGTCGAGTAACTGACTCATGATTGCTGCATAATTCTACAGCCGATATATTCCGCCAAACTACTCTTTAAATGGCAGCCATCTGATGATCTTTTTCATGCACATAATAACTTATATCCTGCAAAAAATTGCCTAAATTCTTTTGCGGCGCAACATTTTTGCTCGCCCCCCCCCCCCCCCCGAGGAGCGAAAACGCGGCTTCTGTAGGGTAGGCATA